AACCATATCTTACTATCATGTAGGTCATTGTACTAAGTGGTTAAATTTGTACTTCTACCTAGTAAACATTATTGCATTCAACTCTAGAATTTTACCTGCATGCTATCGTATTTATAAATGTTGAAAATCGGAGAATAGATCCTTACAATTAAAAAAAAATGTATATAATTTAAAAATATATTTACATTTAAGTCTCTGTAATAACTTAATTAGTTGTCATACTTTTACAAAACTGCATTTGGTAAATATGCATTGTTCTTGAACATTTAATCCATTTTCAATGCAATATTAGAAAAGATTTCTAAATTATTATTATTCCATTTTAGTAATTACAATATTAGCAAATAATGCTCAGAGTAAATGTTAAATTTGTGCAAGCAGTATTTTTTTTAGCCTACCGTAAATGTAAAAATGTTACTCTCATTTTATAATATTTTTCCCTTAAAAAAACTTTAAAGCCAAAAATGAATAGTTTCTTATTTATCCTGATAGGCGGTTCAAAAAGAACTTTTAAAAACAAAAATTCTGTGTCTTTGTTTAACTTTTTTTTTTTTTAAATAATTTATTTTTTCCTATTTTTCTATTTTTTATATTTGTAAACTATCTAATGTAAAAAAATTTTTTTATATAATTGTGTTATATTTAATTCCAAATTTAAGAATTAAATTCGAAAGAGAACTGAATTCTGTGATAGTATACAAAATCGGTTCCTAACATTTAGGAATCGCTGAATTTTTTTAAGAGAATGAATATTTATTGCATGTATATTTTAAAAGTTAATAATGTTTACTAGCTTCTTTGATCAGTCGTGTCATCATTAACCACTTTTCGCCAGCTAACCCAAACCATGGATACAGTAAGTATTTAATGTCTTCCCTGCGCACGTTACACCAACTTGAGTTTGCTACACGCGTCTGTTAAAAAAAAAAAAATTTTGTATTCATTCAGATGTGGCTGCAAACATGTAGACAATACAATAAAGTATGACCGCTGGAATAACTGTTCAAATATCTAGATGACCTTTCAAAAAAACTCATTGTTTTACCAAAAGAATCAACATGAGATACGTGTGACCGGCAGAGGACAGCTAAAATGAGAAGGGGCAGAGGGACAGATGTCGCCAACTAGTAGGACACCAAAACGGGCTTTGATAGCATTGTATTTATAAAATAATGGGTTTGAGAGTTCAATGGGGGAGGGGTTCAAATATAATTCTTGCCACGGGCCGAAAACACTCTAGATTAGATAAGCCTCTGAAAGATAGCTAAAGCTCCACGTGGAGCTGTCTCAAGAGCGTAAGCATGAGATGGTTATCAATATCGAAATACAACAGACAGACAAAAATACCAGATGGTAAACAAATGTCAGATGTGCAACAAAATGACCTTGGTGGAGCATAATTAAGGGGTGTTCATGGGCTCATTCAAAATGTTCATTTAATAATTATGTTTCGGTGAAGTGCAGAGGCGTAGCGAGGGGGGACAGATGTCCCCGGTCGCAAGCTAATTAGGGGCGCCAAAATGTGCTTTGATATTATATTATTGGCAAAAATATTGGGTTTGAGAGTTGAAAAAAAGAAAAGGGGGCGCTTGAAAATGGATCTTGTCTCCGGGCACGAATCTTGGCCCTGGGCGCCAAACACCCTCGCTACGCCTCTGGTGAAATGGCAGGTACGCCTATGCCTCCTAAATCCGCCCCCACCTCCCAGTAAGTTCACATTACGTCAGGACAGCCGTCTGACTGTATAAGAAAATGTGAGATGTCAGTGCAATTTCCTGGGTTGTGTCGCTGTTGTTTACTGGTGGGAGTTGAGAAATGCATCAAGCATTTACCTTTTAAATATGTGGTTCTCAACCTTCCTAAAGGCCGCGACCCTTGGCCACTTCATAACTATGTGTTTTCCTATTGTCTTATGTTACCCTTGAGTAAGGGTCGTTCGACCCCCCCCCCCAAGAGGTCACGACCCACAAGTGTGAGAACCACTGCGTTTCAGGTGTCGACTCTCTGACTCCGTTGTTTAGACGACTCGTTGATTCCGTGGTTGATATACATCATGCGCACACTTCCCTATAACTGTTAACTGGTGTTTACAGAAATGTGATCGAGTTTTTGGGATTGAAGTGTGCGCCAAAAACCACATGATACTTTTGGACGACTCCCCCAATACCCCATTCATACTCCGTCCATGAAATGGTGCCCTGTATTTGCTCTTCCATGTGTATTGAACTTTAACCCTAACCCCATCTGAAATATGAGAAACATAGAGAGAATGGCAATGTGAACAGTTATAAAACGAAGCCTTGTTATCGAGATGTATAATCGGTAAATTTAAGACTTGAGACCGTGCACATCGTTCATACCCATTTGTTAGAGACATATTTTCCTTTCTGGCATATTAGCAATATTAACTGACCTGTGACCACTGCACGTACCGGTAGATACCGCCTATAATAGTCTATTTTGTCCCAAAGGAAAATATTACCCGGGACGGCACTAGGGGTCGCAAAACCGGTATTTTCGATATTGAAGTTTACGAATACCGGAATCCCGATATTTTCGATATTAGAGAATTTACAGTCGAGATTAGAGGTGAGGATTTATCAATGAAATAAAAACATTCTGAACAAATATCACATTTTTATATTTAATAGGCTGCGACTATTCGCACCCGGGTACCAGAAGTGAGTGGTTGGGATTAAAAAAAACTATTTAAAATATTATTGTTGGGTTTGTAAGACAAAATGAGGTATCAAATGAAAGATAATTGAATGTCTGTAAACTTAATTCTTCAGTTTAACTAACATAAACTACCACAAATGAAATCAAAATAGCATTGATTCAAAATGGACCCAGGCACGTAGCGCCGCTATTTGCACCCGGGCACCATTATTTTCTTTTACTATATAGTATAGTGCGTTCAAACAGAAATTTGACGAAAATTTTAACGTTTGAACTTTAAAAAAAGATTCGACCAAATTTCAGTTCGATCAAATTACCGTAGACGAAATTTCTTTCGATCAAATTTCCGGTAACTTTGTGACATAACGACGACATTGGAGTGCAGGGCTCAGCAGTAGAAAATCTTTTAAATTTGTTTTACTTTTAATTTTTAATGACTTTATGTCATTTATAATTTTTTATTTTTTATTTTTTTATTTTTTTTGAACTGATGTAATTCATGGTTGTCTACATTTACTCCTCGAAACATACTGACTAAACATTCTGACTAATAGAATCAATATATTGACTAAAATGGGCCTGCCTACTGACTAAACACATTGACTTAACATGCTGACTTACAGTGACTTAACATACTGAATAAACATAGTTACTAAAAATAATGACTAAATATATTGACTTAACGTAGGTACTAAACATAGTGACTAAACATAGTGACTAAACATAGTGACTAAACATAGTGACTAAGCATAGTGACTAAACATAGTGACTAAACATAGTGACTAAACATAGTGACTAAACATAGTGACTAAACATAG